GAAGACAGCAGTGCAGGGAGCAGAGAGGGGCACTAGTACCCATAACCTAAGAGACAAACAGCAGCAGCCTAATGACTCATCAATAAGCAGTTAGCTGCTGGTTCACAGGTGCTCCCTCCCTCCCAGCCCAGGCCTTCATCTGGGCTGTGTTGTTTGGCTGGGCTTGCCGCTTCCTCCCCTCCCCCTAGTCAAAGGGCCCCAGAAGCTGGGAGCAGCTCCCAGCAGCAGCTATGTCCAAGCTACTGTGTTATTGGTTAATCCTTTAACTGATAGAATTAGAGGAGGTTAAACAGGTATTTTTAAATGTTAGTTGCATCCTTAGTTTCTAATATGTTTAACATTAATAGGGGTTTTAACCTTTTACTTTCAATTATTCTGTGCCCAGAATAACACCGGTTTTATTTTTTTGGCTACTTAGCTTTGTACTGGTGGTTCTGATAGTCTTTAAACATAAAATACTTGCTTTGCAAACTGTGCACAGTGTTCTGCCTGAGCATGTGAAGTCTCCTCCTCAGATAATGTGATCTAAAAACTGGGTGGTATGACCAGCTAATATGGTGAATATCTCATTAAAAAGTGCCTCTTGTAAAGGCAAAAGTAGTATCCTATTTACTTGTGTAGTGTACATACCTATCCTGCCTCCCCCACCACCAAATCTGTCCCCCAAAATTGGGGTCTGTCATTTAAGCAGGGAAGCTGACTTTGTCTGGATCCCCGGGGCTTGAACACAGGTCTTCCAGGCTCATGGGTGGAGGCCTGGGCTGCAGCACCACCAAGTAGCTGGCTGGGTGCTGACCTAGCCTAGCCTGGGTCCTCCCATGGGGGATCATGCGACCCAGGAGAAGCACTGGTAGCTACAAGGCCCTGGTTGTAGGGCTACAAAACCCTTCAACTTCCCGAAGGACTTTGTCCCTGCAACAACACTTCCAGCACTCCCTGGCTCTAGTACTCCCTCTCCTGCCTCAGACCCTCCTGCCTCCTGTGTGCCTTGCTCCAGCCTTGCTTCTACTTTGGACCATCCTGCTTTATTCCTGTCTCCCCTCTTCCTTAGACCCTCCCTGCCTTTAGCCTTGGACTCCTGTACCTCCCTCCTGCCTCCCTCGTCCTGCATGCTGGATTCCTTGGCTCCTTACCTCTGGCTTGACCTTGAATGTAGCTGAGCTGTCCCAGTCTGGCATGAACCATCAGATTTTGACTGACCCTGGTATTACGACCTCTAATGTGGCTTCTGGACATACAGTATTTTATACCACTGGTTTTTGAGCCCAGCTCCACTCTCTTCCCCCCTGTCCAGGTCATACCCATGAAGTTTGCAGGGACCAGCAGAGAGAGAGACAGACAGATTTGCCAAGGGTATGGTTTGCTCTTGCTTTGTGGCAAGGAGTTCTGCAGACTTACTGCAAATGGTGATCAGCTATGGTTCTTTTTTTTTTTTTTCTTTTTTGAGTCATTGTTTCCCCTGCCCAGCCCTTGCCCCCCATATTCTTGCTGCATGGATCTAACAGTCAGCACCAATGTCTGTCAGTTCTTGAGGCTCATGCAAAGAAGTGTAACCATCCAAGACTGGGAGTGATAAGACTAAGCTTAATTTTGTGGCTAAGACAACTGATGGCAACAGGGGTCTGCTTGGGGCTAAATAGGTGACTCAGGGCCTGTATCACAGGTATGACTTGTATGTGGGAGTTCAAGGCTCAGAAGCTGAGGGTCTGCAATCCCATAGGTCTAGAAGCCAAGCTGAGGGTCACAGTACCAGATATCAGTCCAAATCTGATGGCTCATGCAAGGATCAGGCAGGTCCGTGGTCAAGGCCAGGCCAAAAGTCAGGAGCTAAGTCCAACACACAGGATGATGTAAGGAGGGGCAAGGTAGAGGTTGCAAGGCTATAGGCAGTGCTGGAACAGGGCTGGAGGGTCAAAGACAGTAGCAGGAGAACAGGCAGTCCTTGACTAACATCGTTTCAAGTTACAACATCTTGCACTTACAACATTTATAAATTGACACCGTTTCAACTTTCTGACGTCAGTTTCGACTTTAAAACGCTTGATCTGATGCAACGCCATGCCAGCAAACAAGTTCACTGCATCGCCCATCTCCCTAGAGAACATCTGTCCAAACTTCCTTGGACACTTTCTTTAAGAAAGCAGACAAAACTCCAGTAAAACCTGCAGCCAAGACTCCTGAGAAGACTCCAGCCAAGAACCCTTCAGAAAGCACCATGACCAAAAGAAACTTGGGGAGGGTCTTGATTGACCACAAGATGAATATGTGCCACCAATGTGATGCTGTGGCTGGTGTGCATCCACCAATGCATCTCAAGCAAAACCAGGGATGTCATCCTCCCACTTTACTTGGCCCTGGTGAGACCACAGCTGGAGTACTGCATCCAGTATTGGGCCCCCCACTTCAGGAGGGATGTGGAAAAGCTTGAGAGAATCCAGAGGAAAGCCACTCATATGATCCAAGGCATGGATGGCAGGCCATATGAGGAGAGGCTGAGGGACTTGGGACTCTTCTTTATGGAAAAGAGAAGGCTCAGGGTGGACTTGGTTGTAGCCTACAACTATATAAGAGAAGTACATCAGGACCTGGGAGGACAGTTGTTCATCAGAGCTCCCCAAAGCTTAACAAGGTCTAATGGCCATAAACTCCAGGAAGACCGATTTAAACTAGACATAAGAAAAAAGTTCTTTACGGTGTGTGTGTCAAGGGTCTGGTACCGACTCTCTCCACACACCCCCCCCCCTCCCCCCCCGGTGGTACAAGCACCTACTCTGGACTCTTTCAAAAAAAAAGCATGTGGCTTTTTTTCTTGCTGGGGTCACTTGATCCCAGCTGATTTTCTGCCTGTAGTTGGGGGGCTGGACTTGATCTCACAAAGTCCCTTCCAGTCCCTAATGTCTATGAAATCTATGAAAAAGTCCAAACAAGAGACCTTCAAAAAGTCCAGCAAAGTCACCTCAAAGAAGTCCTTCCAAATCAATATGATTGCTGTTTACAATATAGATACATTAATGGAGCTGTATTATTCATCTATAATTGATTGAGTACAAAATTCTAGGTCATTTTTGGTGAAAATAGGGGTATCAGGCCTTGGTTCAGGAACCAATCCCCCATTTATAACATTGTTTTCTATGGGAAAATCGGTTCTGAGTTGTAACAGTTCAGCTTGAGATGCTGTTTTCAGGAACCAGTTGTAAGTCAGGACTGCCTGTACTGAAGTCGGACAGAGGTCCACCACAGAGGTGCTGGAAGCGTTTCAGGGACAGGGCCCTGCAGGAAGTGGAAGGATTTTTATAGCCCTCCCATCAGGGTCCTGTGGGCTCCCATTTGGTCCCCCTGGATCATATATGATCCTCTATTTGGGACCCCATGGGAGGGCCCAGGCTGGGCCTGGCACCCAGCCAGCTGCTTCATGGTGCTGTAGCCCAGGCCTCTGCCCACAATCCCAGAAGACCTGGGTTTGAGCACCAGGGGTCCTGACACTATCCCCTGCCCCATAAAAAATGACTCCCAGAAGCCTCAGGGCCTAGGATTCTTTTGGGTGGGCATGGTGGAAGGCTTTTAACCTGACAGGCACATGAATATTCTCTATGGGTTCCTATAATTGTTTCTCAGTCCTATCTGTCCCAGTTGATGAGATATAAGGGCCCTAGCTACTATGTAGGCTCTTGTACCTCGGCCAAAAGCTGCTGCCAGATTGGCAACTGCTGTGAGAGAGTTAAAGCTGTAGCTGTTGTGTGAGCAGCACTGATCAAGGTTCAGCCATGCAGTCAGAATCCAGCAGTGGCTCTGGAAAATTGTTTTTTCCCCTTCATTTTGCCTTCCCAGAACAAGGTTTTTGTCTTATTTGAGAGTGTGCTGCATGCAAGAAAATGATGTATACGTTAAGGAGTTATATAAAGGAATGTTTTATTTCATTTCAGTCTCCGTTTTTTTTCTTGTGCCTTTGTGACAGCTTTGTCTTACTCTACAAGCTTTGTAGACAAATAACATCTAACACTTACCAGATACAGTAGTCTGTGACACAACACATTATGTTATATCACCAAATCCACTGAGCTCATCTGAAAAGGTTCATGTTTTTATTTGGTGTAATTCTGAGATGCTCAGACCTCAACTTTCACTTAACTATTTTCTTCTATTATAGTGGAACATATCACTCCAGAGATGAAAGTACAGACAGTGGGCTTAGCATGAGCAGTTATAGTGTACCCAGAACCCCTGACGACTTCCTGAACAGTGTTGATGAAATGGATACAGGTTTGTTTTTATTTACACCTTTAATGCATTTTTCCTATATATATTTGTTTTCCTTTGTTTATTGCAAATATTTGTAAAAAATAAATAAATAAAAAAGTAGAAAGTTCTGTCTGAACAGAAAATACTCATAAGTAATACATCTCTTGTGCTTAAATGGGTTTTAAATCTGCATTAACTTTTTTTAGCAGTGTTGCTTCTAGTAGACTAAGAACAAAAACTTAGTTAAGTCTTGCTTAGAATATCACTTCACTTACAACAAGATGTGGTTCTGCACAGCATCTATTTATTTTCTCGGAGTATAATACTATAATGTGCACGTGCGAGCGCACACACACTACTGTAAACAATTGATGGGGTAATGCTCAGTGAATAGGACAGTAGAAGAAAAGGCATATTTTATTTACATTTAGGGTCAAGTTCTGCTTGCCGTGTGTGACTGGCCAGATTGCCATTAATGGGATCACTTACATGAGTAACATGACCAAGACTTAAATGTCTTATCTGTTGTCCTGATCGTAAGTTTTGCACCTACAATTCTTTGTGTTTAATGTCGGTCTTGCTTTGTACTATACTAGGTGATAGTATCAGCCAAAGTAACATACCCTCCCATCAAAACCGTTTCCCAGACTACCTTGAAGCCATTCCAGGGACAAATGTGGACCTTGGGACCCTGGAAGGAGATGGGATGAATATAGAAGGAGAGGAACTGATGCCAAGTCTGCAGGAGGCTTTGAGTTCTGACATCCTTAATGACATGGAATCTGTGCTGGCAGCCACCAAGCTAGATAAAGAGAGTTTTCTTACTTGGTTATAGAGGCCTCAGGGAGACTGCATCCAAATCTGTGAAGGATCTAAGGAGAACAGGACATCTGTACCTGAAGTTAATAAGAAACCAGTGTGGCAAACATTTGGTTTGTGGTCAGAAAAAGTAAATGAACAAATATTCAGCAAGATTTCTTTCATCCAATATTTTGCTCTTCCTTATCCATTGCTGCTGTTATATATTGCTGACCTCTTTCACAGCTGACTCTGAAGAATAGACATCTTTTTGGTCTTTTTCTATTGCTGTTGCAACTACTGTTCAATGGGGTGGAGGGTGATGAGCCTATTTGGATGATGAATGCCATTCCTTTTGTCCTCATATGCGCTTGCATATCATTTTATCTAAGTACTCAGATTTGTGAGTTAACTTCTGCATGTCACCGCTTGTAGTTTGCTCAGCTAGTTATCTCCTCTGTTGCCTATGGCAAGTGGTAAAACATGACTTACTGGTGTGACAAGCCAAAAATGATGTATCTGGTCAAAAGAAGTCAATACTGATTTGGAGATAAAGCTTAAAGAAGGGCTGAAGACAGTTTGACAATAAGTGGTTGCTACTACTAGCTCTTCCATTAGTCACAAAGTGCTCTTGTTCATATTTTATGGTATAGTAAATGAGTCGTATAGTAACATACGAATTTTTATTGTTGCCACATACTTTAATCAAACTTTTTGTCTGTTAAAAACTAGGATTTTTTTGTTAGTTGGTTTAATTTTAGCCATAGTTTGGGAAGTAACTGTAGGTGCTTTTTTAAATAGTGAAATCTAAATTTCCTGATTTCACAGTCTTATTTAAATCTGAATTGTCTGCTTTTTTATACCCTAAAACATGTCTATTGTAGCCTGATAGTGAGCCCATGAAACTATTTTGCTTGTAACTTTTATTCTTAAAGGCTAGCTTTGAATGTAATCGTTAGAATAAATGACCAGTGGCTTATTTTTCATGCCTACTTGCAAGAATTTGAAATTAGAATCTGGTTGTGCCACTGTAAAATGTAGTTCTATGTGCTGTATCTAAACTTTTATCATGCATTTTAAAGTAGCAAAGCCTGTACACTACATGTTTAATTGACTGTTTTATCTAATCTCTTTGGTTTTATTTTTTAGTTTTGATATCTGAGTTTAAGAAAGTAAAATCTTTGGGAGAAACCTTAGTGAAAAGTTCTCCTTTTAAGTAGCATGGAAAAATAGTCTAAACTATCATCTCACTTTACATTGCAATGAACACACTAAACTAAAAAACTCAAAGCCTTGGTAAGACTGTTAGTGAAAAATAAGCCCTGGACACTATATTAAAAGACTGTAAAGATATGTGTTAGATGGTGACATGAGCAGGTAATGAAGTGTATATTAGTAGTAGAGCTTAGCATGGGGTAGAGATGAATGACTGACATACAACTTACTCTGTTAAAGTAAAGGTAACACTGAGTTATCTGCAGGAGTTGACACTGTTTCCAAAGAGTATTTTTAAATGAACAAAGTGAGCATGAATCAAACTTTCAGTATAAGCTATGAAGTAGTTCTTGGGTTAAAAAATAGTGGTATCAGATAGCACCTGTTTAATTAAAGGTCTGTCAGTCCCATTGTCAGTCCTTATTATCAAGGATTTATATCATGGCCATAACAAGACTGTAGATATATGGGAAAAACAAATCTTTGCTTGGAAGAATTTTTTTAAATCATTTTTAAGGCACTCAGTTATTTTTAAGTTATAGGAGTAAACTAAGAAATCCAAGAATTAAGTGTTTTATCCTTCAGGTTTTCTACGTGACAAGAATTTGAAATGGCTCTATTTTATCATTTACAAATGTTAACACAAAAAGACTCTGCTTTTGGAGTTCTAAATTTTATTTTAAAAAACTAAAGCAGCAGCAATTGAGATTTGAAATTTGCCACTATTTGTGCATGTTTACTATTTTTCATAACATTTTTAATAATCAGAAGGTGCGAAGTCAGAAGTGGTGTGTTGTGGAATATTATTTTAAATGAATTTCTCACTAATATGTCCGCAACAGCAATACATTCTGCTACGCCAGTAACCCACAGGTTAACAGGCCACATACATTGTGCAATGACACATTAGCCCTTAAAACAGTATTTATATCCATTTTAGGATTGTAGGAGTATTTTATACTTGCATTAAGAATTCTTCCATCCTTCTTCCCTCCACTTTGAAAAAAAATGTTAAAGAAACTGACACTAAGTTTTGAAGAGTAACTTGAATGGTCTGATATATACCCACAAAAGCAAGGAAATTTCAGAGCTTTATTCCCCATTTCAATCTGACTTAACCAGTTGTATCCAAGTATAATAGCACAATGGTACATATTATGCATTAAGTGCAAACTCTTGACATACTGTACCTTGATACCACAGGGATGACCAGGTTTCTTTCCTTGCTTTTATGTGTTTGTCAGACCTTTGTTTTCTTTTGATAGTAGAAACACTAAAATGGCTTATACTGTATTTGGGTGGCACTGCGTAGGATAGGTACTGACTGGGAATTCTTGAATTGCTCTAACAGTAATCCTATTTTGTGATTCTTTAATAGACTTTAAGACACTTCCGTTCTCTTCCATTGTTAGGAAATATAACCTAGAGATGCTATACTGTTAGCAGTTGAAATTGATTTGGATTGTTTTATTCTGTAAAAGCATTATTTGATGACGTGGTTAAAATTTGTTTGAAATGCGAAGTGTTTGCTAGTATTTTATACTGATTGATGTATATATTTAAACAAAACAAAATCATTGTCCTAATTTTATAGCTTCTAGAATTAACTGTACTGTGTGCAGAATACAGATGAGGCATATTATCCCTATTGTGCTGTACAGTACCTTGGCAGGACAGCTGCTTTGGAATAGGTTACAGTGTCAAGTAAATCATACTAGATCAAAAATTCTACCGTTCAGTGTTGGTGCTCACCAGTGCAAAAAGGAGAAGAGACCTTTTCAATACAATTAACACTACTTGGCTTTTGCATATCTGGTGAATTAGTACTAAGGCGACTTTTCACTTGCAAGCATGTTTTTATACAAATAGCAGGTGTGCCTGTGTAAAATAATGATTTGTTTTTCTGTATCTTGAAAAAATACTCTCCACATTTAAAATGATCTATATTAGAGAATTCTTAAATGCACCCTTGTCAGAAATATATATATTAGTTACCAATGTTACTTTTTAGATATGAGCATGCCTGTACGTTAGGTACCTAAGTAAATTCTGTTACATTATTTTTCTTTATGTAATACTTTTGCAGTTGTTTCATGTGGTATAAATATATACTTTCTGCTTAAAATACCTTGTTTGTTTGTTAACCTTTAATAGGATGCAAAGGAATTTGATTTCCAGGCAATCTCACTGAATTGTTGCAGTTTCCATTACATTTTTATTGTCTATTCCACACTACCGTATAGTAGTTTTTGTAATCATGTATCCCAGTCCTGCAAACTGCATTTAACTGTAAGGCTCTGAGTAGACCCAGTGAATTCACTGGTATGACAAGAGTGCTTATCACTTCAGTGTGTGCCTACATGTTCACAAGACTTGAGAGAAAATTACTAGGTTTCATGTAACTTGTGTAAAACAGTACAGCTAATAGAGCAAGACCATTTATGTGACCATTGGTAAGAAGCTTATCTGTTATAAGAAATTTTCTATTTAATTTTAGAAATGCCTAGAATTTTCTCACGTAGTAGATATTTTTGGCTAACTAGGTCTACAGTGTATGGCAGATTTACCAGTAAAGATGCTCTCAATTTTCAATTTCAGGTTCTGAGTTCTGAATTCAGAAAAAGGTATACATCAGATCTAAAAGTATCTTCATCTTTAATTTCACTAAATCAGTTCTCAGCCTTCTTACATTTGAGGCATCCCTCTGTGTCTTCTGTGAATTGAGTGGCACCCCATTTTAAAAAATATGTATTTATTATAGTGCTAACCTACTTGAAAGGAGGCTTGGGAGGAGGAGAAGTAGCTGTATCTTCTCTCTCCCATGGCACCTTTCAACGTTGCCACAGTACCATGGTTGAAAATCACTGCACTAAACCGTTCATTGGGTTCTTGATTATTTTTTTTTTTATCATCTTTTAAAAGAGAAGTCTCTTGTACAGAGTAATTCTTGACAAATGTTGCTTTTCCTTGGACTCTTTGCTTTTAGTAATCCAGAGTCTGATACTCAGCACTGGAATGGTGATAGTCCTTCAATAAGGCCTAGGATGTTCCACTAACCTACCACCAATGCTCTGCCACCTACTTCTTAGTTTATCGCTCAAGATAAAACCTAAGTGACTGTAGAGCTAAACCTATGCATCATACTCTGTACCTTCAAGTGAACTGGGACCCAATGAGAGGCATGAAACACGGGTTTTATGTGCTCAGAGCAGCAGCCTACCTCATTTTTAAAGTAATGACACAACTATCACATGGGAGGAGACACCACAGCAGTGCAAGACGGGACGCAGATTGGCTTGAGCATTCTTTTTTTCATAATATTTTCAATACTAGACAATGAACAAAGTTGCTGTGTTATTTCATGTGAAATAAAATGCATCCAAGAGGTCTTTGAGCCTTCAAAATGCAAATATACAGGACTGTAGAAGTTAAATGATCTTCGCCTAGGGTTATGTAAAAAAAGAAATTAAGGTAAAGTTGGACTATAAGCCACCAAATCCCTATTTTTTCTGCAGACTTGTTTGAGGTAATGTAAGGAGATCTGCAGATCTGTGAATGCTGTGGTGAACAGGAGGCAGGTAGAGCTTCATTTGGAAAACTAAAAAGGGTGTCACCTGATTTTATCTCCCCTTTTTGTTTAAAGTCTAGATAACAGCATCAAAATTAAGAGGCATCAGTGTAATTTAAAGATGATAAACTAGTAAAGCCAACAAACTGCAGAACCACTTGGCATAAAAGTGTGTGTGTGTGTGATATTAATCTGTTTTGTCTCACGCTTTGGCTTGGTTGTGAGCTATGGAGATTGTTATCCAAACTGGCACCCTTACTGACCCTGAAGTTTCACTAAAAGCCATACAAGGTCTTAAATCCCAATAATAACTGTGATTCTAAATGTTTCCTGTTTCACAGTCTTCTATTTCAGTTACACGCGTTACCTGCTTTGACAAGTTTGTGTTGGGGCAAAAAAAATCTTCCTTGTAAGATATGAGACAAGGTAGGCTATATCATAATTATCATACTTTCATATCATCCATGGTCCACTGAAGAGAAATCTATAACTCGGGGCTTCTTCAGGAGTTCCTGACAAAACACAGCACTTTCAAATGCAAAATTACATGGTTATTTAATGCTAAAGAGAGGAGTGTTAGTCTAATCTGGAGTAAAACTATTCATGGTCGTTCATGGTTTTTAAAAAGCTTTATGAAACATATGATCATAGTATTATTTTTTATACCAGACATAAGATTGCTGAGTTAGGAGCCTTTGTCTACTTAGCCTAGTTTAAAAACTCTTCCCAATAAAAATGGTTAGGTCCATGCATTTTGTTCCTTCCCTGCATCTGCTTTAAAATATTCTCTCAGTAAGAAATATGGTACCAATTCTACAACTCAATTTTGGTTTTCCCCATTCCTTCTTTAATTGGAGATTTGTTCCTTTTTTTTGTTTTGGTTTTTTTTTTGATTGCTCCTAAAAAAAATTATTGCTTCTGCAGCCTTCAGTTCCCTTTCCAATTCTCACATGAATTCTCTCAAGTGTGGGATCAATATAACCTACTACTCTTTTAAGCAAGAGTTAAATCTAAAATGGAGAAAGTGGAGCTTTATCATGATAAATGAAAAACGTTGTTTTCCCACAGTCCTCATTGGAACCTCATCACACCTTCAAAACTTCCTTTGTACTTGTGAAATTACAATCTCTTGCACTCCTGCTGTTATAATAAATTATAGTTATCTTATTGTTTTAATATTTGTGTCTGATGCTTAAAAGGTACCATTTAAAGGTGCCACTTTAAGCATCACCAGAAAAGAAAAATGCCTTTCATTTTTAGCAGGTGGTAAATTCGTACACAAAAGCTAGGAATGTTGACCTAGAAGCTTCTGACCCTGTAAGTTTGGAAGTTAAAATTTTAGCCCTCTTGCATGCTTTGAAAGTGGGCCTATTTTGTGTAAATTTTACTCATAAGTAGGGACCTACCAAATCCACAGCAGAAGTGGGTGGCATGGCAGCTCCTTTAATCTTGCAGGTTTCCCCACGTGTCCCTCCTCCTCTCCCTCCCCCCCGCTGCTGATTGACAAAGGGGCCTCGCCACTCACTCCTGTTCAGCCAGGAGGCAAAAACGACCCTTTTAAATATGGCGCCATTTTTGCCTCCTGCTGTTGAATGGGAAGGGGTCCCAGTGTCCCCATCACTTGATACTGACCAGCCAGGAGGCAAAAACGGCGCTGTAATTTTGCCCCTCTGCCAATCAGAAGCAGGTGGTGAGCAGCAGGGCCCCTCTGCCAATCAGTGGCTGGGGTGGGGAGGGGCTCATGGAGGAACCTGCAAGATTGAAGGAGCTGCCATGCAGTCTACTTGTGCCACAAATTCAGTAGGTCCTTACTTATAACAATTGAACAAGTTATGCTGACCAGTATCATAGATTTCCATTTCTCTATCTTCTTTCATATCAGTGGTAAAAGTCCAAGACATTACTAGGCAGCCAAAGATTATCAATCTATTGTCAAGTTCCTCTTATTTCTACTCTCTACTGGAGAACAAACCATCTTTCTACACAATCAACCTTCCAATAATGTTCCAAGAATAACAGTTTTGTTTCAGGCTTATTGTAAACTACAAATTGCTTATTGGTGAAATGCTGTGATATGGCTTTTGCTTTTTCCTCACTGGAAGAAAAGGTGAGGGCTAACAAAAGCCATGAAAATATGAAGGAAACAGATCTGGATTGCTGCACTACAGTGACATTTCTTAGAAATTTTCAAGGCTATTCTAATGTTAGTAGATGACAAAATATAGTGAAACAGGCTTTTTATATTTGATTTGGATTCACATTTGTATTTCATTGTAATATTCTTTTAACTTTTAAGCAGGTGTCACACCATTGGAGTGAATCTATCAGGCCCAGGCTGCAAAGAGCAGAAGGTGATCTTTACAAGTTGTGTTGAGTATACCTCAGTGGAGTGATTCTGAACTTCTGCCCCATACCTCTACAGTTGACCTTCCCCTTATCCTTAGACTAAGTATATGAAACTGCTGTACCAGTTTCCTGTGAAATTGTAACATCTGCTTCTGAAGAGTGTTTAGGTTAATGTTTGACTGTTCTTTGAAAACAGAGTGGTGGTGAAGTGCTGTAAGTCAGTATTCATTCTCAAGTCTTTGCTATTTTCCCAGCACTACCCATGTGGTGTCTTGTGGCCTGTCCCTGCTGAGTGATAGCACCAAAATCAGAACAGTAATTTTGCAAAAAAGTAAATGGTGCCAATCCCATTCTTCCTATTATTAGCTCTCCCTCCTACAGTTTCTCAGGCTCAGTTGAGCTTTTTTCAATAGCATTTTTCTGAGTCATCTTTCAGAGAGGCAAAATTAATCATGTACATTTAAGACTAAAGAATACTTGAGTAAGAAACCTTTAACCATGATAGCAAATGAAGAAAATATATTCAGTAGTTCCCTGCATAATACCCATGATAGGTTAGGTTTGGCTTAGCGTTTGATCAGATTTGATTTTGTATTCATGAGACAAACAAGTCCCTTCTTGAGTTTCTAAACTACTATATGTACTGGGTGTGTCCACATGTTCATTCATGCACATTTGGCTGTGCTAATGTGCACTAGCACATTTGCACGCTTTTTAGTGACACAATGCACAGTAGACTATTTTACTGTATATTAGTGTAATGTCATGGTTTTTATATGATGATTTAATGCGTGGTAAAATAGTCTCCTGAACATTAAGGCACAGGTATACATGTGCCCACTTAGTAACAGGTTGAAAAATAATAAGACACCCACGTAAGAGCAATTTTCAACATATGTAATCAATCCAAACCAATAAAACGAGGAGGAAAACCTTATCATTTTCAAGATTGCCTCTCCACAAGCAGTACCTCCCCACCCATCTGAAATATGCACCATTCTGTGAAGGTCAGCAAATTTGGTTATTTTGAACATAGGGGCAATCAAGGTCTCCTTGGAGAAAATGCATCTACCATTCCTTGAACTATTACTTTTAAATGGGCAAATTAAGTCACTTGGTGACTTGTTGGACTCCCTTGGGCTTTCATTTTACTTCAAGACTGGCCCTCTGGGTACAAACTATTCTTAAATTTTAATGCTGATTTTTTTAAAAA